GTACAAGAATCAAGTCACATATTTAAACACTGTGTAACATAGAATATGTAACCAGTAAAACTGTCTGGTGACTCTATTGAAATAAAAAATATTTTTCTCCTAACTTTGCACATGCAGATACTCCAGCCCATGTTAATGTGGGTCTGCAATACACATACTCTTACCTGGAAGCAAGCAGAGAGGTGGGTTATGTCTTTCAGGCTGAAAAGCATCTGTCAATTTAATCCTCTTACCATACATTCTTACCCAAAACAGCAATAATGACAACAACAACAAAAACCCCTTGTATCTTTAGTTTCATAAAATTCCTAAATTCAAAGAGTGAATGTAGGACTGATCTTTTTTTTTTTTTAATTTGGATACAATAAGCCAACTCTGCCTGTTTCATTTTTAGGAGGCTCTATTGCTGAGAAACGTCTCCCTAACTGAATTGAAATGAACACTTATGTGTCTTCCTGTCAATGATCCTAGGAATATAACAAAATTATCTCTTTCTTCATTGTGATGCTTTTATCAAGCATTTCAGGAAAACTGTTTCCCCAACTGTTCTCTTCTCTATGCTAACCCTAGTTCTTTAAGCTATTCCTTCAAATAATATTGTTTCCACACTACCTACCATACTAATCATTTTCTTTCAGGTGTACCCCAGTTTATCACTCTTAAAAAGTAGTAATAAAAAAATGAACACAGTACACCATGGGTTCCTAGCAGGACAAAATAAACCAAGTCCTCTTTTGACTTTGATGCTATACTTTTAATGATGTAGTCTGATATCATTAGTTTTCTTCACTAGAAACAATGCATTATCAACTCTAAGTCTATTTAATTAAAATCCCAAGGAATTTCCATTCATTCATTATCAGCTACTTCAAGGATGCCTTAACTGTTTTTGGTACTGGACACAAAAGGCCAATAAAAGGTACACAGTTCCCGTCCTCATGGAGTTTACAGTTTAACAGAGGACACAGCAGACATCGCATACTACACAATTTACTAAATTACAATTGTGATAAAGGTATGTAAAAGCATATACCACGGGGATATTAATCTATTCTGAAGTAAAAGGAAATAGGACTTTGAGGAAGAGATTTAAGCCAAGACTTAAGAGTGAGTAAGGGCTGACAAATGAAAGAAAGAACAGCAAATGCAAAATTGAAAAGAAGCTTGGTTGACAAGGCACTAAGAGAAGATCAGCTGGGCTCCAGTGCTGTCAGGAAGGAAAAGAGGGGCATGGGTAAGCCTAGAGATAAATGAATGAGCTCTTCCAAGGCTTTGAAGACCAGATGAAGAAGTTAGGATTGTATTCCAAACTGAACAGGAGGCCACTGAAGGGTATGAAGCAGGAGAGCAATAAGATGGAATCTACAACTTAAAAAGCAAAACACCACAAAAAGAAACAATCTTTGATGGTTACAAGGGAGGGAAGGGGTGGGGATGGAAAAACACTGAATAGATAATAGATAAGCGGTAACTTTGGTGAAAGGTAAGACAGTATATGATACTGGGGAAGCCAGTACAACTTGTACAAGGAAAGGTCATGGAAGCTTCATAGACACATCCAAACTCCCTATGGGACCAAATTACTGGGCTGAGGGGACCATGGTCTCAGGGAACATCTAGCTCAACTGGCATAACATAGTTTATAGAGAAAATGTACATTCTACTTTGGTGAGTAGTATCTGGGGTCTTAAAAGCCTGTGAGTGGCCATCTAAGATACTCCATTGGTCTCAACCCTTCAGGAGCAAGGGAAAATGAAGAAAACTAAAGACACAAGGAAAAGATTAGTCCAAAGGACTAATGGACCACAACTACCACAGCCTCCACCAGACTGCGTCTAGTACAACTTGATGGCACCTGACTACCACCATTGACTGCTCTGACAGGGATCACAATAGAAGGTGTCCTGGACAGAGCTGGAGAAGAACGCAGAAAGAAATTCTAATGCACAAAAAAAGACCAGACTTACTGGCCTGACAGAGACTGGAGAAACCCCAAGAGTATGGCCCTCAGACACCCTTTTAGCTCAGTAATGAAGTCACTCCTGAGGTTCACCCTTCAGCCAAAGATTAGACAGGCCCATAAAACAAAACTAGACTAAAGGGGCACATCAGTCCAAGGGCAAGGATTAGAAGGCAGGAGGGGACAGGAAAGCTGATAATAGGGAACCCAAGGTCGAGAAGGGAGACTACTGACATGTTGTGGGATTGTTAACCAGTGTCATAATATGTGTATTAACTGTTTAACGAGAAGCTAGTCTGTTCTGTAAACCTTCATCTAAGTTTAAAAAAAAAAAAAACCTAAAATAAAATAAAAAGCAAAACACTTACTGCTTAATGTGTTGGCATGGTTTTAAGGGAAAAAAAGTGGCTGTAGGGAGATCAGCTGGCAAGCTATACCTATAGTCTGGGCAGATGATGGTAGCATTGACTAGGAAGAAGGCAGTAGACACGGAAAGAAATAGATTCAAGATATATTTAGGACTTGATGACGAACTTTATGTGGGGGATAATGAAGAGGAAGTGTTACCACTAAGGCTTCTTGCGTGAACAACGGAATGGATGACAATGCCATTTTACTGAGATGGCAAATCTTTACTTACATAAGAAGGGTTGTCAAACTGGGCTCCCTCATCCTGAGCTTGGGTAATTAATGTTTCGAAAGCTCTGGAAGACTTTTATATTCATCCCTGTAAACTTTTTCATTTTTTGGCTCAGACTACTAGTCTGTTCAGATATTTAAAAAACTTTAGTCTATCATCTGATGTCTTCTCTTGCCCCTCTCAGCTTTCTATCATCTACAAATTTGATTAAGTCATATTTCGTAATCACTATTAAGTTATTAACAAAAACATAGAAAGGGGACAGGATGAAGTACTCAGCTCTTCAGTGCATCACTAATAAACTCTCTTCAAGTTGGCACTGATTCATTGAAAAGGACAAGCAATGCCTAATAGTTAACACTAACATCATTTGTTCAACATTTAGGACGTACCAAGCACTTAATGTCCATTTTATGTTTAGTCCTTACAAATTCATTTTTCCATCTCTCAGATACTTATTGAGCTCTTGCTATGTGTCAGGAATTGAGGTAGGTACTATTATTATCATCATCATCTCAGAAATCAGCAATTTCAGGCTCAGAGACAAACTAATTGGCCTTAAGTCACACAGTTAGTAAAAGATTTAAAATATGATCCCCATTTTGGAGTCTCTCAAACACATGTTGTTACTCCTGAGGTTTTATTGTACCAAAAACCTAAACCAAACATGTTGCCGTCGAGTCAATTCCGACTCATAACGATCCTACGGGACAGAATAGAACTGCCCCACAGGGTTTCCAAGGCTGTAATCTTTACAGAAGCAGATCGCCACATCTTTCTCCTGTGGAGCAGCTAGTGGGTCGAACCCCTAACCTTGTGGCTAACAGTTGAGCACTTTAACCACTGTGCCACTAGGGCTTGTCTTTTATTTGTACACTTGTGTTAAATTTTTTTTATTTTTATTATTATCAGTAAGTATATCATTAAGGTATATGTGAAAATGTTGTGTGTGCTGTAGAGTTGATTCTGACTCACACTGACCCAACAGGACAGAGTAGCTCCCCCTCATAGGGTTTCCTAGGCCATAATCCTTACGGGAGCAGATCACCAGCTCTTTTTTCCTATGGACTGGTTGGTGGGATCAAACCATCATCCTTTCAGTTAGCAGCTGAACTCTTAACTGCTGTGCCACCAGAGCTCCTTGTATGTGAAAATACTTGTAAACAAACACAAAGCTAGTACAACTTTTTCCAGACCAGTGTTTCTATTACTTTTACTGAAAAACTTCCCAGTACTCTCTCTAATAGCCTTTCTAATTTCTGCCACGTTCCTCATAGCAGCTTTCTTTGTAGCTGAATTGAGGGCTTTTATTTTTCCTCTGGAGTCCCCAGGTGGTGCAAACAGTTAATGCGTTCGGCTGCTAACTGAAAGGTTGGTGGTTTGCGTCCACTGAGAGGCAACTCTGAAGAAATGCTTGGCGATCTACTTCCGAAAAATCAGCAGTTGAAAAGCCTACGGAGCACAGTTCTACTCTGACACACATGGGATCACCACGAGTCAGAGTTAACTCCTGCCAACTGGTCATTTTGACTGCCCTTGTGGTCAAAGTTCAGTTTATGAAATTCTTCTCTCCCTATCCCTTCTTTCATGTAGCCAGTGCAGGAAGTATTCCTGTTCAAATTCTAATATCTTTATTAGATTAGAAACCCGTTATCAGTACTAAATGGAGAAAGTCAAGGAAAGCAAGATTTTATACAGGTAGGATTTGCTGTTTACATTTTAAGAAACACTAATTTCATACATACTTTTTATAAAATGGGACGACTAAATTTCATAATATTCCACTTGGGCTCAAATAACCATAACAAGGGTTTTTAAGTTGGTGATTAACAAAAAAGGAATGCAAATAAGGGCAAACAAGATTCTGAACCAACAGGACTCTTCCTATTCCCATTTCCTAAGGAATATTCCCAGAAGAATGTTCTGGTAAAAATATGCAAGTAGAAAACTGAGAACATATTTGCTCTTACTATGCACTCTGGTTTTAAAAGACATTTTAACTTCAAAAGGGCAACAGTCCATGTCCAGAAGTATATAAAACATTCTCTATCAATATCATATCACAATGAAAGCTTTTTAGTTTAGATGGAGATGAAGGATATAAGGTTTATGAGTGTAAGAAAGCATATAGCTGGGAATATGCTACCTAAGATCCAACTGGCTACAATGATTGCCACTTCAAAACGTAGGAACATGACAGGAGTTTAATGGACAGCAAAGTCTTGGAGCTCAGCTTTTAACACGTTGTGGAGTTTTCAAATGCTGTTTTTCTTTAACTTGAACAAAAGAACAACAGCTACATCTACAGCAGTTTCTCTTTAAACTCAAAACATGCTTTTTCAAGGTGGAGGACATCAAAATAAACATTTCCTAAGCAATAATATGCTTAAGAAGACTTACCTTTAAGCTTCTGGAGGTCCTCCTTCAAATCAGGCCCCGCGAGCATGAAGATACTTTCTGACACAGGATTCTTATCAGTGAGACTCTCATTGCTAGTATTCACAATGGCTGTACAGTTTAGTATTGCCACATCTCCTTTCCTGAAAGAAACACAATAAATAAGTAAAGAGCAGGTGTGGGGAAAAGGAGGGGGATAAGAAAGTTTCTGCTTCTCCCGAAACATCTTATCTGCATGCCCTTCATCACCTCGGTTTTGCTAATTCACAAGCTAACCAACAGTAGAAGAAAAAGTCCTAACTCAGAGATATTTATCTGGCATTTTAGATCTTTAATGCAATCGCTACAACCACAAACTTGACAAAACTGTCCGTATTCTTTTGGGTCTTACCTATTATCTCTTTCATTGTAACACTGCCTATTTATAGAGCTGAAAGTAGTCGGTTTAAACAGAATTTAGACATAGCAGCATTATTCATAAAAATTAAAAAGGAGAAACAACCCAAATGCTCAACTAATAAAATATGGTATACTCATACAGTGGAATACTATTCAGCCATAAAAAGGAGTGAAGCACTAATACATACTACAACATGAATGAATCTTAAAAACATTATGCTAAATAAATAGACTAGTCACAAAAAACCACATATTGTACGATTATATTCATAGGAAATTTCCAGAATAGGCAAACATAATAGAGACAGAAAGTAGATTAGTGGTTGCCTAGGGCTGGGGATATTCGGGAAAATGGAAAGTAACTGCCAATGGGTATACAGTTTCTCTTTGGGGTGATAAAATGTTTTAACACTGATTGTGATGACGGTTGCACAGCTCTGTGACTATACTAAAAAACAATGAATCATACAATTAAAATTGGTGAATTGTATGGTATATGAATTATAGCTCAATAAAGCTGTTAAAAAATGATGAACTACTGATATATGCAACATGATGAACTACTGATATATGAATATTAAAGTAAGCCAGACCTCCCCCCGCCACACACACAAAAAGCACATGATTTCATCTATATAAAACTCTAGAAGATGCAAACTAATCTACAGTGATAGATAAGTGGTTGCTTGGGGATGCGGGCGCAGGAGGGAGGATTATAAAAGGACATGAGAAAACTTCTGGAGGTGATTATGGATATGTTTGTTAGCTTGATTGTGGTGATGATTTCATAGTATGTGTGTGTATATTTATCAAATTGTATATTTTAAATATGTGCAGTTCATTATATGTTAATTATACCTCAGTGAAGCTGTTAGGAATATATGCAAAGTAGTATTTCAACAATTCTAGGGCTTATAAGAAAAACGTTTAGAAGAAATTATATGAAAGTGTTACCACATTATGCCAGAATTTAATCAAAGAATTACCAAAGAACCACTTTTCCATTGATATCCTTATTATAAGGAAAAGGTGATCTAATAGCATCTTCCTGTAATTTTTCAGCTTCAGCGTCAGAAGAATTTAATTCATCTTCACATGAGTCACTCCAACTTGGTAGTGTATCCACATCCACAAACTGGGAAGGTGCACCCAAGGGATCCATGGAATGGAAACTTCAGGTGTCTTTTCCCAAATTCCTCAGCAATTCAATATTCACTGGAGATGTTAGCTTAAGAGAAAAGGAAGGATTGTTTTAATAGAGAAGTATAGATACTAGTCTAATTCTATTAGAACAAAAAACACTCTAGTGTGAAATACTCTAATAGTACATTATGTGATTATAGTCACTTAAATAGTTCATAAAAAACAATGTAGAACAAAGAATTGTTAGTCTTTCTAATAAAGGAAGAAGGGGGCTTATTTAAGCATAAATTATTTTCGAAGAATTACAGTCATTAAAATAATCACATGGCCCACCAGTCCTACTTTCCAGAAATACAGGACTATTCATTCAACATTCACTGAGCGCCTGCCATTTAAAAAAAAAAAAAAAAAAAAGTACTGCAACAGATACAAAGGTAAATAATATCTACAAGAGTTCAATTTTATGATAACGTAGAGGATGCATTGAGTAAGACAAAAAGACAAGCAGGGACGTTATTACTGCAATCAAATAGTAAGAGATACTAAAGGTCTGAACTCAGTAGAGAAGGCATGGATTTGAGTCAATATACAATGGAAGGAGCCCTGGTGGCTTAGTGGTTAGGAGCCCAACTGCTAAACCCAAAGGTCAGCAGTTCGAATCCACCAGCCACTCCTTGAAAACCCCATGGGGCAGTTCTACTCTGTCCTATAGGGTCGTTATGAGTTGGAATAGACTTGATGGCAATGCTAATGGTTTATACAATGGAAGAATTAACATGAGTTGGCAACCTATAGGATATGGTCTATGAGATATCGATGTGGGAGTTGATTGATTGTACTGGAAAAGAGAAATCAGAAGAGGAGGGTAATGGCAAAATACATAGCGTCAAGTACTGTAGAAAGGTTATAGAAAATTTAACATGAGAAAAGGATACTCAATTTGTCAGTAAGTTAGCTGTTCTCATTAAAACAGTGCATTCATTCGTTCAATAAGTCTTGGTAAGTATCTATTACGTGTCAGATATTGTTCTAGGCAGTGTCCCTGGGTGGTGCAAATAGTTAACACACTTGGCTGCTAACCAAAAGACTGACAGTTCCAGTCCACCCACCCAAAGGCGTTTCTAGAAGCTTGGTGATCTACCTCCGAAAAATTAGCCATTGAAAACTCTATGGAGCACAGTTCTACTCTGACACACATGGGGTTGCCATAAGTCAAATCAACTCAAGGGCAACTGGTTTTGGTTATTGTTCTAGCCACTGGGGATTAAGACAGAACAAGTTCCTGCCCTTATGAAGCTTATGCTTCTATCTAGAGGAGACACGATAAACAACAAACCCGGAGATAGCTAAAAGAATGACTGAAGGCAGTATTATGCAAGAAAAGTATTATGACATCTCAGCTAACACCTAAATAAAGTGAAAGAGCACGCTATGTGATGCTCTAGGGAGTACTTCAGGCAGAGGGAATAGCAAAATGCAAAGGCCAAAAGGACAGCAAAGGAGCGTGGTGTATTCCAGGAAGAGCAAGGAGGTAGGTTTGGCTACAGTAGAATAAGCTAGGTAATGAGTGGTAGGTGATGAGGTTGGTGAGAGAGGGAAAGGGCAGATGATGCAGCTTGTAAGCCATGGTAAGGAGTTTGGATTTTATTGTAAATATGATGGGAAGTTATTGAAGGATCTTGAGCAAGATAATGACAATAGAATTAACATTTCAAAAGACTACCCTAGCTACAATAAAACTGAGTAGGTTCAAGAGTAGCAGCATAGACCAGCAAAAAACTATTGCAGTAGTCTGGGTGATGGTGGTGATGATGAAGGTGGTAAGAAATGGTTAGATTTGGAATGTAACAAAACTTGCTAAATGAATATGAAGGGTTAGGGAAAAGAGTAGAATCAAAGATAACACCTAGATTTCTTACCTGAGGGGAAGACTGTGGGGTAGGTTGTGGGGTGGAGTCTGGGGTGGATTAACCAGTAAGCAAGGTATGCACAGGCTTACAGTAAGCAAAGTATGCATGGGTTTAATTATGTTTACTTACTAATCTGGAGCATACAATTTCACATGGGTTTCACCACATCTTTGGGTAATCTGTCCCTGTGTGGAGTGATAATCAAGGTTTTTTCTCGTATCTTTTTGAGCATGCTAAGTATAAAATGCCATTATATAGTCAAGTGTTTATGTCAAACATCTAACTGGTTATATGAGGCTAGAGCTCAGAGAGGTGGGTCTAAAGAGATACATTTGGAAGTCTCAGCATATAGATGGTATTTAAAGGTATGGAAACTGGGTAAGATGGCCCACTGAATAAACTGTAAATAAAGAAAGGAGACCCAAGCACTGAGTCCTGAAGCACTACAAAATTTAGAGGGTGGAAAGAAGGTAAGTCAGATAATGAGACAGAGAAGTATTGGTAGGAAATCAGAAGGAAAATCAGGAAAGCATGGTAGCCTAAGAGCCAAACCAAAAAGGTATTTCAAGGAGTGCTCAAAAAGTATCTAAGAAGGATAAGCTAGGGTCTGATGAGGCTGAAGGGTTGAGTATGAGGATTGAGAACTCATTAGTGGGTTTGGTAAACTGAAGACCGCTGGTAACGCTGAACATATATGACAGCAGACATGATCAGGAAACGAACACTGGTGTATGAATTTCTCTTTTGAGAAGTTTTTCATTATGGTCTTAATGTTTATTGCCATCAAGGAGAGCAAGTATGCCCTTCCACAACTAATTCCTTGATGATTCCTGCTGAGACACGGGATATTAACTGGACTAAATCATGGATCTTGCATAATATGCTAATTCCTGCACTGTGAGGTAAGAAATGTGATCATTTATATAACAATTTTGGAAAAGCCTTGTAGATTACAACGATAAAATTGTAGATGATGATTATTCTTTTTTGATACTAAAAAAAATTGAACTTCATAGGGTTTTCAAGGCTGTGACCTTTTGGAAGTAGCTCATCAGGACTGTCTTCCGACTCCTTTGAAATTATTTTTAAATAAAGAAACTAATTCTATCTATTTAGAAGCTGGTGTTTAGTTCATCCAACAGGCCTTTAAAACTGTTAGCAAGCAACAGTTTTGTTGATTTCTTCACAAAGTATTCATATTGGACAAGATGACTGAAGAGAGGACAAATGGAGACTATATTCATCATGGCTGAACTGCCTCAAGCTCAATGAAATTATATTTTTCATAAATTTGTAATTTCAAAAAAGATTGCAATGTTTTGACCATGATTCATGCTGAAGTTCTTAAATTCCATTAAACATAAACTTAAGTTTTCAGTTTGCAAACCCTGAATGTCAATTTTCAGGAAAAAATTACTTCTTTAAAATAAATTCTCTTTCTGACTCTAAGTAATATCTTGAAAATACCAAAACATAAGGAAAAAAATTCACTTTTTTTAATGTAGTTCCCACGTTTTTTTTATGATAGGTAAAACCAAATAAAAATGAACAATGTTCAAAAATGTTCAATTTTGAATCCTCCTTCATTAGTATTCTAAGGTAAACACTTCCATATGCAATTACACTGTGAGGCAGAGGCAGTATGGTACAGTAAGAGCTTGGGCTTTGATATCAGAAAGTCTGAGCTTGGGTCTAGGACCTACCACCTAATAGTTGTGTTATCCTTGACTCTAAACCCAAGTTTTCTTATTTCTAAAAACAAAACAGAATACAAACCCATTGCCATCGGGTCAATTCCGACTCACAGCAAGCATATAAGACAGACTAAAACTGCCCCATAGGGCTTCCAAAAAGCGGCTGGTGGATTTAAACTGCCAGTCTTTTTGGTTAGCAGTCGTAGCTCTTAACCACTGCGCCACAAGGGGTTATAATCTCCTAGGGTTATTGTGAGGATTAAATGAGATAATCTGTGTCAAAACGGCATAGCAGAGCACCTGGCACAAGGCAAGGGCTCAATAAAAGTTTCCTGTTACAATTTTCTCAAAGTCAATGTGAAAGTCACCTGCATCAATGTCTGGAAGAACATACATTTCCACATGTAGCAAAGAGCAAAACACTGTCAAAGACCTTCTAAAGGGCAACAAACAAACCAAACACAAATTGCTAAGATACATTTTTTTTAATTGTTGCAGTTTAAATGAAGTTTACATTTCAAATTAGTCTCCCATACAAAAATTTATACATACATTGTTATGTGACTCGAATTGCTCTCCCCATACTGTGACAGCACATTCCTCCTTTCTACCCGTTTCCCCATGTTGATTCAACCACCTCCTAACCCTCTCTGCTTTCCCATCTCACCAATGGAAAGAAGCTGCCTGTTTAGTCTCTTGTATTCATGTGATCTAAGACACACACTCCTCACGAGCATCACTTCTATGTCCCAAAGTCCAGTCCAATCCCTGTCTGAAGAGTTGGCCTCGGAAATTGTTTTAGTTCTGGGCTGATAGAGAATCCAGGCGCCATGCTTTCCGGGGTTGCTTTAGTCTCAGTCAGACCATTAAGTTTGGTCTTCTTACTAGAATTTGAGTTCTGGACCACAACTTTCTCCTGCTCCATCAAGGACTCTCTGTTGTGTTCCCTGTCAGGGTGGTCATTGGTGGCAACTGGGCACCATCTAGTTCTTCCAGTCTCAGGTTGAGGAAGTCCCTGGTTTATGTGGGCCTTTCTGTCTCTTGGGCTAATATTTTCCTCGTGTCTTTGGTGTTCTTCATTCTCCTTTACTCCAGGTGCTTGGGACCAACTGATGCATCTTAGATGGTCGCTTGCAAGCTTTTAAGATCCCAGACACCACGAACTGAAGTAGGATGCAGAACATTTTTTTAGTAAGCTTTGTTATGCCAACTGACCTAGATGTCCCCTGAAAGCATGGTCCCTAGACCCCTACCTCTGCTTCTCTGTCCCTCAAAGAGTTTGACTGTATTCAGGAAACTTCTTAGCTTTGGTTTAGTCCAGTTGTGCTGACTTCCCTGGAGTATGTGCTGTCCTTCCATTCACCTAAGATAATTCTTATCTACTATCTACTTAGTAAATAACCCTCACCCTCCCTCCCCACCCTCATAACCATCAAAGATTGTTTTCTTCTGTGTTTAAACCTTTTCTTGAGTTCTTACAA